AGGACTTTTATTGCAGAATGAAACAACACTCAAAAATAACCATCATAATTAGAGCATCTTATATGCGTGTGTAGCGGGTTGTTAAAAAAATGTCTACCGCTCTGAATATATCCTCTGTTGTTTCTTTATTTTTTTTTTCTACTCTTTATTGAGCGCGAAACACCATATTATCAACTGGTCTAACCGGTTCCGACAGCCTCTGTATATAAATGTAGCAGTTCCTTCAAGAGGGATCTCCTCTCACTCGCAGCGAGAATCGAGCCTTTCTTCTCCTCTCCTCGAGGCGAGCACGCGCGTAATACGAGCGAAAAGTTTGGACGAAAAGGATCGCGGTCTATGTCGATGTCGATCGCTGTATGATTCAATATCAACGCTAAATTAGTCGAAAAAGGAAAAGAGCCGGCAAAACCGGTCGAGACAGGTTTCTCGATATGCGCAAATAGAAGCTGCAGGCGCAGAATGTGTATACACGAACGCACGAGTGTGTGATGAGGCAAAACAAAGTTGGCGAAAAATAATACGAACGGGAGATAAAGCTCGAGCTGCGAGTTGCTGTCTCGCTCTTTTTTTGCGCCCTCTCGTGTGCTTGGCTACTATCTCTCGTTCTTGGTAGGAGAGCGATGATCTCGAACGCTACACTGCTCGCATATAAATATGAATGCGGCCTTTTATTGAAAACAGACTCACCTGAGTGGACGATTTATGCTTCGATATAAAGAAACACATGTGGCCAAATTCAAGACTTACCTGAAACGAGAAAAAAAAGGAATATTATATATAATTCAAATAATAATAATAGGGCACAGTTATATATTTGCTATTTCCGAAAACAAGTAACTGCAGAGAGCGAAATAAACAGATGAGAGAGCCATAAATCTAGTTGTACGAATGTGTCATGCCTCGACATGGCCACACAAAAGTGCCGCTTAGGCCAAAAATTGATACGTTTAGATTTTTCGAAAAAAAAAAAAAAAAAAAAATTAAAAGTCGCATACGTTATTAAAATGGGGAAAAACGCATAAAATGCAAAGCTGTAACTCTATGATAATCGAAAAGGTCGTTAAACTAAGTTTTAGTTGGAAAAGAAAAAAAAATACGAGAGAGGAAACTTTTTCTTTCGACGGAGGCATTTTTTCTAGAGAGAATTTGCACCCTCAACGCCCGTAACACAAAGTCAGGAGCAGCAGCACCCCAACGTCGCCCGACGCTATATTCCTTCGCCCTCTTTGACATTCCCGACGGTGTGTGTATACATACACAGAGAGATGTAGAGACAAGAAAAGAGAGATGTGTATGAGGGAGAGGAGGGTGGAATTAAATTCGAAATTGCGAGCGTTCACTACGGCACTTAAGCTATATAACTATGCTGCTTTGCAATGGGGAAGACGACGACGTTCAGCACACAACCGAGCTCAGAGCGAGAATTTCTCTTTCATTTTACTTTTCTTCTTCTTCTTTTTCTCCTTCTCTTCTTCCTCCTTCTCCTTCTTCTGCTTCTTCTTCTTCTGATGCTTTTTTTTTGCATCATGTTTCATCTCCGCGGGCTTCTATACATGTATAAAGGTCGAGTTTGAGCAATCGTGAGCGACCAGTTTATAAATAATGAAAGATCCTTTGTCTCTAGATTTCATGGCTTACTGTAGCTTCACGATATACAACGTCAATGATTCCGAGTGAAGTTTTGATGAATACGTATAAGATTTTTTTAAATGGCCAATACGCATATCTCTTCTTTTAATTTGTATCAAAGAATTAAACAAGAGACGCTGAGAGAAGAAGCAATTCGGAGTATCGCTTGTTTATAAAGCAGACCTAGCTATGCCGCTCAGCTCGCAGAGAAGCAAGCGCGAGCTAACGGAGAATTTATGTGCAACGTTAAAAATATACTATATCAATTAAAGTTGCTATTTTTGCGAAGCATAGCACAAAGCGAGCGAGATAGAATGAAAAATCGTTCGATTACAAATTTCGCAACGCGCACATGTATGTACGGATAAAGCGAAATATGCAGAGAATTTTATCCAACGCTTTCGCCACTGTAACGAGGTTAAAAGTCAAAGAGTCGCAGCAACGTTGCAGGGGCGTTGCGCGATGTCGAGCGCGCGCCGACATTGACATTATTTGTTTTTCTTAATACGTCGGTGTTGTTGTTGTTGTTGTTGTTTTTTCGTCGATATAGGTGGAAGAGGAAGCATGAGACGGGTATAGACTAGCCTCCAGCGAACACGTGCAGAGAAAATAACCTGCCGCGCGCACACGGAGCACAGCCCTGGTAACCCCCTATGATACAGCCGCTACACGAACACGGCGCGCACTCGTAACAGGGGTAATTTACGAGAATAACGACGATGAGGAATATACATAATGAGCGCCAGGTGCGCTCAGGCGCGAACTTCATTCTTGAATTTCTGGCCATCTGCACACAGACGACGCACTGTGTACTTGTATATGCCTACACGTGTACGGCCTTCGTCGAACGATGTATGCTCGTTAGGTGTTTTTTTTTATTCTACTCGGTTCTCTCTCTCTCTTTTTCAGCCTAATTTCGTGGGGGCGTTGAATTATGCCGCTCAATTTATTTCCATGTAGGAAGTACAACGGAATTTTTCCTTCTTCGTGTGCACGCGGTTTATTTTTGTTGCAAGATTGGAACTATGGTGAAAAAAAAGCACACACACAAGATAGAGAGCAATTAGACGCTTGCGTTTCGTTCGAAATGATTTAAAACGCTGCAGCCGAGAAAATCCAGCGGCGGCGGTGGCGGCAGCTGCGCGTGCAGTGCAGTGCACAAAGTCCGCTTTGGCGGTTTTATTACATTATCACGCGCAGTCGCAAGCGAAACGCGATTCGCCGAACGATCATTATCGAAAGAGCTTTCGTGCGCAGGCTGTTTTTTGCACTCGGCTCGAATACAATAACATTCTAAGAATGTATAATGCAACGACGCTGAAAACTAGACGCTCTAAGCCTTAAAATATGCAATACTAAATTCAACTCCGTGTTCCCATCGCTTTGGAACGTCAGCTAGCTCCGAGCGCGTCTCGCTGTATAATACGTAGTATCTGTGTGTGTGTGTGTGACTGAATATATAGTGCGTGTATGCGCGAACGCGAGCAAAAGCCAAAACACAAGGTCGTCCCGGCGAACCGGTTAAGCCGACCGCTCGACACAAAACAACCAACGAATTGCCAAATTTCGATGGGCTTGGAAAAGTTTGCCTGCTGAGGCGAGACTGGGCAGGCGCAGGCGGCCAGTCCAACCTATCGATAGCGCTCAAACTATCCTTTCACTGCTTCAAAGTGATGGAATATTTTATTCGCGTGTTAGAATCGTGACTCCCTTACAATATGACTCGCTAAAACTGCTCGGCTAATCGAGTTCTTTACGGTTGCGATGAAATGAGTTCGTATTCGTTCACTGGTATCATGAGCCGACAAAAAGAGAGAAGTAAAGAAAGTAAGAAAGAAAGGCAAGCACGCAGAAATGAGCTACGTGTACATCGAAATTTTTCATTTTACAATATCGGCTTGCATAAGCTCCGGTATAGAAGCTAACAGTCTTTAGCAACTTTACTCCTGTGAGCAGTCAAAAACAAAAAAAAAAACGATGTAATTTTCTTTCGAGACAAGGTCGATGTTATACTTACATGATTCAATTATCTAAGACTTTTACTCGAGTCAACTCTTGAAAGTTTTACGAGCTTAGGAAAGTTCTCAAAGTTTCCTCTAAATTTATACACATCTCGGAAGATGAATCTCGACGATAAGTGAGGGAATATAACACGAGGGCATATGTACGCTATCGGATTTATCTCGAGCGCAGTTGGAAATGGCAAAAGTTGTACACTCGCATAGGTAGGTATGTATGCTGCTGCTGCTGCTGCTGCGCGAGTGAAAGTGCGCCAGTGTGTAGCAAATTTCGAGCCAGCTTACCGACGACACTTACGCAAGCGCAGAAACATCGATGAAACATTTTTGCAGTCTTTCATGCGCGCATAAAACTTAATTAGCTTTACATCGCGAAGCACATATTGGACTATCGTACATTGCAAGCGAGGCATAAAAAAAAATCTTAAAAAATCACCGATCGCAGAGAATAGGTTGCCGGGTAATTTACTACTAAGCTCTCGCGCGCGATGCCGCCCGAGGTGACAAGTGAACGAGTTTTTGCGGCTCAAGGACGCGGAGCCGAGCGAGCGAAAGAGAACATAATGTATGTATATAAGTTAGCATCGATCATTATCGTGGCATCGCTAAAGCATAAACGAGCGGCGAACGAGGACAGCGACTTGGTAATTTCAAACGGGACATTGACACCGACACACGCCGGTAGTATTTTAATTTGACATTTCGGCCAATTTCGTACCCACGCGCTCGCATCGAGACACATACATTACTTCCGTCTTTTCTTTGGCGTAGTCGCGCACGGGAGCACACAAAGATTTTAATGAAATTCTCAATAGCAGCGTCGTTTAAGGTAACGATATATTATTACTTATATCCTTCCATTTATCTCCATTATCAATTTATTGTTATTTTATAGTAAAGCGAAAAAATATAAAGGGTTGCTAATAAAACAACTAAGAAGAGAGGATTTATCAATATCAAGTAGTTACGCTTTTTTTTTCATTAAAAATCGAAAATTAGAACGTAGCAGTTGTGAGAGTCGAGATAGGCAGTTTCATTCAGTTACAGCACGTCTCGGAAAAGTAATCTCGCAGCGACAGGTGCGCAGCAGCGCGATGACGATCGCGACTCGCGCGAGGCGCTGAAAAATAGCTCTAATTACGCGCGCTCGCGCAATTACGGTCTCGAACAAAAGCCTAGCTTCGGCGAGGAGGAAAAAATACTCGCGCACGCATGTGCGGTAGCGGATTGCTCAATGTACCGCTTGGATGATGATAAATTTGCTCTCTCTCGCGCTCACGTGCTTGGCTTTTTGTCATGCGCACGCTACTATACGCCAGACTCGTTTCGCAAAAAGAACGAATAATGACTCACCTTATTAATCGCTCCCTCTCGAGTATCGTCTCGCCGAGACTGGCCTGGGCGGCGAGGGCGTGCGGGCCCATGGGGACGTGGTACCTCGACGGGGCGCGCCAGATCATCTCCTGAGCCAGGGCGGGGTGATGATGGGGCGGGGGTGGCACCGCCGGCATCGGCGGCACCGGGCCCCCGGCGCCCGTGTAGCCCACGGCCGGCACCACCGGCTGCAAGTGGCCTTGGGCCTGCGAGGCCTGCGGATGAGCCATCAGCAGCGACGTGTGCTGCACGCTCTGGACGTGCCAGATACGGGCTGGTGCAGCCGTTACGGCTGTCGCTGCTCCGCTGCTGCTGTTGCTGCTGCTACTATTACTACTACTAGTGCTGTTGGCGGCGACCGTAGTCGCGCTGGTCGTCGCGGTCGTGCTCGCGCTCGACGACTGGTAATTACCGCTGGCGTTGTTGGGTGTGCTACTGCTGCTGGCGTCCTCGGCGCTGACGGCCGAGCTACGACTTCCGCTGCGCTCGTCGCCCGAGCCGGTACCCCTCACCGAGCTCACGCCGCTGTCGCTGCCACTGTCGAGGTAACGCGCCAGGGGCACGCTCGACGCTCCGATTTCCTGGACGTCTTGAACCCCGCCGGCCTCATCGCTGCTGCGCTGCTCTCGAGCCGCGCAGTCCAGCAGCAGGCTCTGGGTCAGTAGATGAGCCGCCGCTGCTCCGGGCCCGTGCTGGTGCGGATCGACCGGGAAGTGGGCGTAGTGCAACGACGGATGCGGATAGGGCGCGAGGTGGGCCAGATGATGCGACGAGGCGGGGTGCGCCGCCGGCAGGTGATGCCTCAGCAAATGGGGCTGTGCTGCTTGCTGTTGCTCTCGCTGATGCTGATGCTGATGCGGCTGCTGCTGAGCCGACGACTTTTTAGCCAGACGCTCGACCAGGATGACCGGGCTCTCGGTTTGCCGGGCGCGCTCCTGCTCCTGATGCTGTTGCTCGAGGAGCAGGCTGCGACTGCCCGACGGCGACAGCCTATTATCCAGCACGCCGGAACTCGTAGCGCCGCTGTCAGCCGAGCTCGCAGCTGTCAGCAGCTCCTTTTTCAGCGGCCTGATGCTGCCTCCCGAGGCTTTTGAGCTTTTGAACGGCGACGTAGCCGCTGCCGGAGCTGCGGCCGCCTCGCTCTCGATCGGACTCTCTTCGATTATGGACGGACCAGCGGACTTGTTGTCCGAGACTCGGCTGCTGAGGCTGCTGGCTGTGCTCGACTCAGCTCCGAGCTCGTCTTTTATTTCGCGTTTTAGCAGAATCGGCTTTCCGCCGCTTTTCCTGTCAGCAGCTGTGACTGCTGCTGTTGCTGTTGCTTTTGTACTTTGCAGGTCACTGGTCGAGCTAGTGCTCGTCGTTCTCTTGGCAGCCTCGAGGTCCGGAGACAACTGGCTGGGCTCATCGCTCGACGAGTCGACCTCTTCTTTCTCTTGCTTCACCACGATCTCGGCTAATTTCAGCGAGTTTCGTGGTGCCTTGCTCTTGAGCGAGAGCTTCGACAAGTCGAGATCCTCCGAGGGCTGCTGCTTGACTTCGGACTCGGGCTTGGGGGCGACTCTGCTTGCGGCTCTCTTGGCGGCGGCCAAACTTTTGACCCTCTCGCTGCTCTCCTTCACTTTGGTCCCTTTGAAGAATAAATCCTCGAGCTCTTGCTCGGCTTCCTCATCTTCTTCTGCCTTGACTTCGGCCTTGATATCGGCTCGGCACTTCTTGGCCGCGAGCCTGGGCGCGAGGCCGTTTCGGCTTTTCCGTCGGCCAGGTCGCTGACTCTGCTCCTCGGTGCTGTCGAGCGCCGCTGGACTGCTGGCTTTGAGCCTGCGTGGACGGGACTTGTCGACGGGTGCTGGCGAGTCCTCCTTCTCTGCGGACTCTGGCGCTGGCGGCGAGTTGGTTTCCTCGAGTACGGCGACGGGTTTGGCGAGTCTGCGCGTCGTCGACGACGGCCTGTTCTCGCGGTCCTCCAGTCGCGACTCCTTGGACGTCTCTTTTTTCGTACTCTTGCTGGAGGCTTTTTTCGCTCCTCCTCCGACTAGTAGACGCTTGCGAGCTTTCGTCCGGATACCTGCTGCGCGAGTCCTCGAGTTTTTCGCTGCAAAAATCGAAGCAGAAAATTGTCTCGTTATTTCAATGAGTTGATTAAAAAGCTCGTTAAAATATAAAATTGAAAGTTTGAAAAGTGGTAGTGTCGTTATTTTGGCGGCGCGGGCGAACAATTGCTAAGCAGGGGAAATACGGATCGAGAGGGAGATGAATATCGAGCATCGGTAAGGGCCAGTCAAAGAAACACGCGAACAAGTGACACATGAAACAAAGCATAATACGAAAAGGAAGAGCCGGCGAGACTCGAGAGAGGGATCGAAAGCGGCGCACATTGCACTTGAATGTGTACGTGGTGTACATTCACATAGAGGCTGGCGAAGCTATAGGGGGCTTCTCTCTCCCACCCTCTCTCTCTCTCTCTCTCTCTCGCTTTCTCTACTGGGTCTGGTGCGCCTTGGATTATATAGGAGAGCTGGTTTACGAGGCTAATCCCTTTGATGCCACAGCAGCAGCAGCAGCAGCCGGTGAATCACGCGACGACTACGTTCTTCCCCTCAAAGTGTGGCAAGGCAAACTATTTCGCAGTGAGCGAACGCGTGTGTGTATAATACATTGTGCGCAAACGTTACACGCGTATATGTATAATGCGTGTGTGTCCGAACGTGCATCATATTATATGCGCGGTGATAAACAAGTTTCCTACCGAGGGCCAAAGACCACGGTAATTTTTGACTATTGCGACCTCTGGAATGTTAAGCTCTACCCATCTCCGTACCCGTCGTGGCGAATAATTTAATAATCACGAAATAAAATTGATTTCCACAGCTGATCTTACTTGACATCTGATAAATGATCAGTTTTTCGATACATGAAACGATTTTTCTTCACCAGATAGAACACTTTTTGTTTTGAGCATATTTTGTAACTCAAACCAGCCTATCCATTTACGCAATTTCATTCTGCTAGGTACTTGAAAAGAAGTATTTTTTTGAAAAATAGATAATAAAAAACGAAGCAGCAGCATCAAAAGCTATAATTGCGTTCCATAACGTGATCTCGCAGAGGAATTTTCCTAATCCGAGAATGAGATCGAAGCTCGTTGAAAAGTCGCAGCAGCTTGGCGTCAAATCTCATTGTTGAGGAATATCTGGGAGCTGCTGGCCCACTCGAGCTCGTCCGAGCCTCTATAATGTAGCGGAGTCGTCGAGTGTCGCCAGAGAGGTAATTTTACGATGATGCGACACACACACACACACACATGGTTGGTGTGCGCTCGGGCAAATGCTTTGACTCGGCAAAAGTGTGCTCGTGTATAGTCGCGTCGCGCAGCTACGATTAGTCGCACTCGTGGTGCAGTGCAACGAGAGCCAGAGCCAAATGAGTGCCTCGTGCGGCCGTCGCGTCGTTTTGCTAATTTCATTAGGTATATAGAGAGAGACGCGCTACAGCCAATACACAAGCCTATAGGCATCCGACACAAAGCTATTATTACGAGAGAGAGAGAGAGGGAGAGAAAAGAGGAGAGAGCTTATCCGCGTATAAGGCAAAATATATACTTACGCGTGGCTTGCTCTACACGCGTTTCAGCGAGGAACATGCGCTCAACGTGTAGGTATAATTACGATCGAGAAACCCGATTCGTAATTTATATATATATAAGTTCAATGAAAGAATCTTCGGGAAGGCTATTATTAATCGTGTATAGGATTTTGATCGTGCAGAAGAGCGACGACCTCAGCGAGGACTGGCTATAGCTGCGGTGCGAGCAGAGCGCAAGAACAATCTTCGAATAGATCATTCGCAGAACAAAGAAGACGTTGCCTAGAGAAGCCTACGTAGTGTATGCGTCCGAGCACAAAAGATGCTTTGTTGCAGAAAAATACAAGCATTTGAGCGAAAGGAGCTGCTGCTGCTGCTGCTCTCCAGTCGGGGCCAATCGACACCTGTCAGATGAAATTACGCACTGGTTATACAGCGCGCTGCATTTAGAGTTGCTCCGAACTTGCTACACGCGGAATTCCCGATTTGGGTCATAAACTCGTAATGACCTATTATCATTTTTCTGCCGCGTAGAATGTGGATAGAACCGCCGCTCGGAGTCGTAAAAAATTGATGAGAAAGAGAAGGTGCGGGTCGGTCGTCTCTAGACAGAATAGGTCGGCATCGCTCAGGGAGTTCAGGGTCACTCCCTTTTTCCGTGCGTGCTTGCCTGCCTGCCTGCCTGCCTGGCCTCGAGGTCGTTATAACCCGTATAGCTCGCTCGCTCGCTCGCTCGCTCGCTTGCGCATGTAACATAGGCTTTACTTGGGAATAATTTACAATGGTGCGCGAACTCGAGGACGAGAGGGATTTATCGCCGCAGGATTTACTGTTATTACTCGGAATGAAGAAGAGAGCAGGGAGGAGAGATAGAGAGAGAGAGAGGAAAAAAGAAGGGGAGAGAGCTAGTTTTCTTCCTGATCTCGCGAGCGGGCACAAGTGTATTCTTTGTCACCGGCTGAATGAAAGTCAGCAGCTCGAACCGTTATGTTTTTTATTTTCCTTGCTCAGCGAGAGCAGGAAATATGATTTTGAAGGAATTTTCGTTCATCTGTTGCAACGCAAACAAAACTAATGATTTGCCTATATATGCGTGAGTCGTGCGACTCGTGAATTTACAGAGAGACGCGTGCGCGCCCGAGAGCAGCTCTCGTATACACCTACGGCAAAATAACGTACGTGCGTAAACCTATACCGACGAGCTATACATATGGGACGACGCACCATCCATTTTGCATGGTTGCGCAGCGGCGCATTCGTATTCCTCCCTCGTTTTCTCTCGGTATTCTCCCTATTGTATGCCAGACTCGTTTGTGCGTGTGTACTGCGTGGAACACGTATACTTGTGACATTCACGAGTCGCTATTTCTCTCGTCCCTTTTGAACATGTTATACGTATACGTATAGGTACGCGGCTGATCGAGTGTGCGAACGCCTCTCCATATATAGCTATGTGTGACCCGAGGCCGAATAATCCTCCGAACGATTATGCACTTTCCAGTTCGAGAATGGACGATTAAGAGGTTTGCTCTCGCTCGTTCGTTCGGCACACGTATACGTATATAGAAGCGCAATTGTATACACGTACAGAGCGAGCGAGAGGCAGATAGCGATAATGGCCGAACTAGCGGGAGGGAGGAATGATATGCGTCAGTCGAAATGGAGTTCGTTGCACCCTCGCTTCTCTCTCTCTCCTTCTCTCTCCCAACGTGTCTGGCTGTGATCCGCACGCACACTATATACTATACTCTACTGCTATACACGTCATAGTAGCTTAGCTCGCAAAGTTTGGCAATAGAAGCGGCGAACTGTTTGCTACGTATTACGAGCTCTTTAGGTCTCTGTGCGAGCCTCTGCATCTACATCTGGCTTAAATACTTGTCTCTAATTCGCTTTGTGATTAATGCGAGCTGCAGTCTGGAATTACAGGAGGAGGAGGAGGAAGCGCCGGACAGGAGCTCACGATTCTAGAGGTAATTTTGCCTCTCGCTGTTATAAACGCGCGCGCGCGCTCAGTGAGAAAAAAAGTCGATCGCGAGGCATGCACGCGAGAAAAGATGATGTGCAGCTGTTATATATAGATATAGGTAAGCGCGGGGCGTCGAGGAAAAACACGAGCTCGAGAGCTGGAGATATGGCGCGCTTTGAAAAGGGAAATTACAGTACCGGTCTTACTCGCGCCAACTTGCTCGACGATGTATACGGAGCATATTATTCTCGTGCCTGTGCAGCTACTACGTGCGCTCGTTGCTGCTGCTGCTTTTATCGCAAAAAGAGAGAGGGGACTGTATTTACCGTTACAGCAGCAAAACTCGTGCGAGCGAGCGTAATTGAGCGTCGTAATTGAAAAGCCAGCGTATGTATACACAGAGTCGTATGTGGATCGGGAGGATGAGGCATGTATAATGCATCGATCGCTCTACACATTTATACGTGCAATTTCGCTTTCGAATCTCCGAGGCTACGACTCGTCATTTTTTCGTTTGCTATTCGTTTACTCGCATATACTCGCGGTACTTGAACATCGTATAACAGCAAGCGGATCGCGTGCCCGATCCGCAGCTCTTCGTTTGTCTTTCTCGCTTGGCTAAATGTATCGGAGAGATAGCTGACAAACGGAGAGAACGGCGCAGTAAGCATATCGCACGTCCACTGCGATCGGCAGCATCCAAGTGCAACTCCAGCTCTCTGCATGGCGCTAGATGGAAGCCATAATGCCTCCTCCGCTCGTCCGTCCATCCATATACGTGCGTGTATCGATCGATCCTCGCGAAATTTCATTAATTCGAATTTTCGCCCGGCGTTAGGTCGAGCTTTAGGCGCTGCGTGCGCGTCACGTACATCTACGTGTACTCTAGCAGAGGTAATGGCTGCGCGTCCATTGTAGCCCCGCTGCTGCACCTCGATCGTGGCTTTGTGACCGTACGGGCGCCGGTCCGGTCTTGTGGCGTACCTTTAATGGCCCTCGTGTACCTCGTGCCGCTTTTTTCACAACCCAACAACGATATAACGTGTCATTCGAGGCTCGCCTGTCGTTGGGTTTGTTGCGCTTGGCCCGGTTCTCGTCCGTCGCCCTTCAGACGCCTATCGCTTCCTCGAAACTGCACTCGACCAAGCTCGTTTTTCGACTTGTATACCTGCGCTACAAGAGAACGAAAGAGAGGCAGTGATTCCTCGAGACAAGTTCCCATAGCTCGAGCTAGACATTTGCATCGCAAAGTCACATTTGCGCTAAATGATTAAAACCCCCGCCAGCTTGACAAGCTCGTACGGCTCTCTGTGTACGTGGCGCGTAGTACGTAACATGAATTCCACGCGACTCGCTCAACTACGAGGGGGGGTTGGTTTTGTTGCGTATATATACGTGAATGCAGGAAGAGAGCATGGGGCACGGGGATGAAAAGCCAGCGGCCGATAGGGCTATGAATTCGGTTGGATATGCGCATGGGCGACGACGATGACAAAAGGGTTTAAATGCCCGCTCGCAGTGTATATATATATAATATCATC